GCAGGCTTCCGATGAAACATTTTATGAACATAAATTTTATTTATTTGACAATTTACCTTGTAAATCTGACGGAATTATAGGTTTAGACTTTTTGAACAATTTTAATTCTACTATTAATTTAGAGAAAAATATATTAACTTTAACAAAAGAAAAACAAAGCATATTGCCTTTACATACCTCACCCAAATTGTGTACTGCATATATAACAATACCAGCACGATGCGAAACTATTCATTACATAAAGCTAACCTCAGATGTGAGAGAAGACAGTGTGATTGTGCAGAAGGAGTTACAAGAAAATTTATTTTTGGCTGGGTTGATAGTAAAACCAAAAAATAACATAATACCTATCAGGCTAATGAATACCAGCGATAAAGATATAGTTATTTCAGTTTTTCAACCTGAATTATTACCTTTAAAACAATACAATGTATGCTCGTTTAATAAATGTGACTCTAATCCCACACGAGCAACAACATTGTTGCAAACCTTGAAACTTGATCACTTAGGTACAAGCGAACGAAACAGTATAGAGAGTATTTGTTCTAAATATACCGACATATTTCATTTACCCGGCGATAAGCTTACTACTACTAACTTAGAGGAACAAACGATTCATTTAAAACAAAATGTAAGTCCAGTATATACCAAACCATACAGATTACCACATAGTTTAAAACCGGAAATAGAAAATCAGATTAAACAAATGTTAGACGATGACATAATTGAACCATCACAAAGTGAATGGTCCAGTCCGATATTATTAGTTCCTAAAAAGTCAGATAATGAGAAAATTAAAAAGTGGCGTTTAGTGATCGATTACAGAAAATTAAATGAGGTAATTCAAGATGACAAATTCCCATTACCAAATATTACCGACATTTTAGACTCGTTATCAGGTGCTATATACTACTCACATTTAGACCTTAGTCAATCTTATTACCAATGTTCATTAAAACCAGAGTCTAGACCAATTACATCATTTACCACAAGTACAGGACAATACCAGATGAAGCGCCTACCAATGGGTTTAAAAACGAGCCCCAGTGCCTTCTCTAGGACAATGTCTATTGCTATGTCAGGACTAAACTATATAAATTGTTTTATATATTTAGATGATTGCATTTGTTTTGGCAGAAATTTGGAATCACATAATAAAAACCTAATTGAAATTTTTGAACGTTTACGTAAAGTCAATCTTAAATTAAATCCGAGTAAATGTCAATTTTTAAAAACAGAATTATTGTATCTAGGTCACACAATATCTTCTGGAGGGATCCGCCCTGATCCAGAAAAAGTTAAATGTATAAAAAATTACCCAAGACCAACTAATGTTGATGAAGTCAGACGTTTTGTTGCTATGTGTAATTATTATAGAAAATTCATAAAACATTTTGCAGAAATAACCAATTGTTTAAATAAACTATGTAGGAAAAATACTAAATTTGAATGGACGGAGCAATGTGAGAATTCATTTAATTTTTTGAAAAATACTCTTATTTCACCACCCATTTTAACATACCCAGATTTTTCGAACGAATTTATATTACAAACCGATGCTTCTGGAACAGCGATAGGCTCAGTACTTTGTAACAGTGACATGAAACCAGTAGCTTATACTAGCAGGCCTTTGAATAAAGCAGAACTAAATTATCCGACAATACAAAAAGAGCTTCTCGCAATAGTTTGGAGTGTAAAATATTTCAGACCATACCTATTCGGACGTACTTTCACTATAATGACAGATCATAAACCTTTGATATACCTGTTTGGAATGAAAGATCCGTCCAGTAGACTTCTGAAATTTCGATTAGCCCTAGAAGAGTATGACTTCAAAATAACATATGTCAAAGGTAAAGAAAATGTACTAGCTGATGCTTTGTCACGAATAAGTGTAACTTCACAAGATTTAAAAGATATGAATGATAAAATAATAGCAGTAACAACAAGAGCGCAAGCTAGAAGAATAAGAGAATCTGAGAAAGGGGAGGAAAGTGAGAATGATAGTGTGAAAAGCGGTATCCCAAGTATTCGCCTAGACGATTGGCCTGATCAACCAAAAGTTGTGGAAATACTTAGAATACCGAGTGGTGCAGTCGAGTTAAGTTTAGTGAAAGGTGAAGAATTAAAGAAAATGAAAGAGAATAAAAGCGTAGATGTCGAATCAGAATGTTTCGCATTTATAGCCAATAAAAATATATTATATGTTAATCTCGATTTTAAAGCACATTACACGCGAGACGTTTTTGTGGAAAAATTGAGAAAAATATGTGAAAAATTAGGAATAAAAGAGATTTGTATTATAAAAAAAGATGATAACGCGTTATTCATAAAAAATATTGTAAAAGGAATAAAAGGAATAGACCAGTGGTCCGGACCACGCATTTGTATTTTAAGAGGAATAAAAAGAATAGACAATGACGAGGAAAAGAATTTTTATTAATGACTATCATCTGCTACCAACAAGCGGACACGCTGGGGTACGCAGAATGATTAATAATATAAAACGTAAATTTTACTGGCCAGGAATCGAAAATGACGTCAAGAACTTCATCCAAAAGTGTGAGAAATGTCAGAAAATGAAACATTCCAGATATGTTAGAGAACCAATGGTTATTACAACCACAGCAAGTTATGCTTTAGAAAAGGTATTCTTAGATGTAGTAGGCCCATTAGATATAGATTTAGAAAATAATAAGTACATATTAACAATTCAATGCGAGTTAAGCAAGTTTGTTGAGGCTTATCCTCTTAAAAATAAGGAAACCGTAAGTATAGCTAAAAGTTTTGTGAACAATTTCATTTTAAGGTTTGGGATTCCCAAAACAATCACTACAGATCGTGGCACAGAATTCATCTCGGAAACAATGGAACAGGTATGTAAATTACTTAACATAGAAAAACTAAACTCTACCGCATACCATCACCAAACCATAGGTTCACTTGAAAATGTACATAAACATCTAGGTTCATTTTTACGACTACAGTGCGATAATCATCCAGAAACATGGAGCCAATGGCTACCATTTTGGTGCTTCACATATAATAATACAGTTCACTCTAGTACAAAATATGCCCCGTACGAATTAGTTTTTGGTAAACCCTGTGAAATACCAAGTAGAATTTTTTCTAATATAGAACCATTGTACAATCCTGATAACTACAGTTTAGAATTAAAATACAGGTTACAAGTAGCTAATAAAGATGCCAGAGAAAACTTGTTAAAGTGTAAAGAGAAAAGAAAACAAATTTATGATAAAACTGTAAATCAAATAAAGTATAATCCAAATGATATGTTGTTAGTAAAAAATGAAACAGGAAATAAATTAAAACCTTTATATGACGGCCCATATATTGTAATAGAAGAACAAGAACCAAATGTAAAAATCATGAAAAATGGAAAAATTGATGTTGTTCACAAAAATAGAACAAAATTATTTGTTAAAGATAAATAAATTTTATTATGTAAGCTTAATTTAAGTACATTTAATCTTTACATGATTAAGGATTTAGCATTTAACATTTATGTTTGGCAATTAGCTGTAAGTTCAAAAAAAAATGTAATCTTTAAATTTAATTTTTTTTTTCTTTTACCCCGGAGGTGAAGTGGGGTATACCTTATTGTAGTTAGTAGTTAGTGGGTCAGATTAAAGAGCACCGTGAAACGAGACAGACGTATTGTTTTATTTTACACTAGCTCCCCACACCTCATCGGGTTCGATTGCCGGGTCAAGCAAAGTATTACTGGGTTTTAAAAAAATCTCAGTAGTAGAGCACGGAGTCTGGTATTGTACCCGGTATATGGCAATAGACTCACCCCCTATTACATGGGACTCATAACATAAATAGTGAAAAGTGGGTGTTACATTGTACAGTGGCATAATGTGCCTACTCCTTCGGGGATAAAAAGCGTGATGTCGTGAGTGTGTAATAAGTATTAGTAGAGATTTTAACTAGAATCCATAATGAAGTCATTTATCTTCTGGTTAAATATGCAGGACTGCAGATTATCGTGACGTTGATGCATCGCTTGCATTATAATGCAAGCCAAGTTATAATAAAATGTCGCCTAGTTTTATTCATGTCGTTTTATAAAGGAACTATAGCTTCTACAAGCGGCTTTGTCCACGTAACCATGAGGTAAAAAGTAGCCTATGTATTTTCCGGGTCACAATCTCCCCCTGTTTCAAATTTCATCCCGATCTCGTCAGCCTTGACTTGATTTTTTATAGCATAAGCCGGTAAACGAGCTTTCGGATCACCTGATGATAAGCAATCGGCGTCGCCCATGGACACACGGAACACTAGAGGCGTTAAAGTGCGTTACCGGTCTTTTGAGGATTAGGAGTTTGAGGGTCGTTGGGGATTCAGGAATTAGGGAGATTTGGGAAGGGGGGGGGGGGAATTGGGCCTCCGGTAACCTCACTCACACGACGAAACACAACGTAAGCGTTGCTTCACGTCGGTTTTCTGTTAGGCCGTGGTATCGCTCCGGTCGAGCCAGCACTGCAGTGCCGAAGCATGGCTCTCCCTCACTTTTCAGTAATAAACATACACACAGACTCACTCAGGTTTCCAGTTTGATCTGTACTCTGTATTTATATATGTATGTATGTTTATCCGCGATTACCTGAGCTGATTTTAATACAGTTTTCAGCTTAGAAGAAGGTAATAATAGTACACACATCAAAAAAGAATGTTGAAATCGGTTTATTAACCAATTTTTTCGCAATAAAGATTATAATTATTATGTTTTCGGCTTACTCACGTAATTATTTGACGAGGAACTCGACTAGTTTCAAGCCATGCTAGAGGCTCATATTCATGAGCAGCATTCCGCAACGCTTTGACTGTCGCGCTGCTACTGTTCCTAGTCAATCAGTTACAAGAAAGTTTTAATATAAACACAACAAAGGTTTCTTTACCTTCCTATTAGTTAATTGTCTATCTTTTGTTTCAGATGAGGTACACTTGGACCTGGCCAGGACGTGGTTGACACTATGGAGATCTACTGGGTGCTTCTGGCTGCCGTGTTTATCGCTGCACAGGCACAGAATAATCGCAGTAAGTACTAAGTACATAATCACCCCGTCACAACCGCGTCGGGGATCGCAGGACGATGATGACGGGTCAGCTAGCACGGATAGCTCGCTACCAGACCAGAACCAGACTCGAGTGTACTGCGCGTCGCGTTCCGCGCGCGCCTCAAAGAGCTATCAGACCACCACGGATGGGGCCCAATAGGGTCGATGCCGATACGGAGCCGCGGAGAACTTAACGGGTTACCGGGGCTCCGGCTCGAAGTGCAGGAGTAGGAACGGGGTAAATTTTAGTCAGTAAGAGTCTCTTTTTTAAGGATATTTGATCTCTTACTCTCAAATGTAATAATTTTAAGTAGTTGTGTTCAATGAGCTCTATTCTACCAATCAAGCACTTTCGTTTGATATCTATAATGGAGGTAGTTGTGGATTTTTTTTTTGGGAGATAATCATCGAATGACTGCTCCTGCTTGGGTGAGGCGGGAGGGAGTGTCAGACTCTTACTGACTAAAAACCACCCCGTTCCTACTCCTGCACGTCGAACTGGAGCCCCGGTAACCCGTTAGGTTCTCCGCAACAGGTAGTTATGGATAGAATTGGATTAGGTGTATTATATTCGACTGCACGGTTGGCACGGTGGCTGGGCAACCGGCAGCGTGGCGTGGCTTCCATTCCTGACCCTAAACTAGCCCCTTACTGGGTATCATTTACAACGGTCATAAGTGTCTTACATACACTACCTTTTTTATGGGATAAGCCGGTAATCGAGCAAACGGATCACCTGATGGTAAGCAATCGGCGTCGCTCATGGACACCCGAAACATTAAAGGCGTTACAATTGCGTTACCGGCCTTTTTGTAATTAGGAAATTGATGATTGGGGAAACTGGGGGAGGGGGGGTTAATTGGGCCTCAAGTAACCTCGCTCATGTGACGAAATACAATGCAAGCGTTGTTTCACGTCGGTTTTCTGTGAGGCCGTGGTATCACTCCGGTCGAGTCGGTCCATTCGTTTCGAAGCATGGCTCTCCCACACTTATTTACACATCCACACTTCTCGCCTCACTAAAGGCTGGAGAAGTCATTGGATGAATTTCTCTTATCAAAAAAAAGGTAGACATTACATAGCTCGCTCGATTTGATTCTGGTAGGGTAAAGCAGAATTGGAATACCTAAAATTGCAGTATGGTGTTTGGAATAGGGTGGTTTCCTAAATTTTATTTTAATGTCCGTCTGGTACATTAATTTAAAACATTATACACGTATTTTTCTTTTCTCACAAAATTAAATACTTTGGACGATATATTGACGATATATATATTTGAAATATCGTGTGACGTCACAGCGTGTCACATTTTGTAGCACGTTATGACGTAACGACCTCCCACTCCTAAACTTAGCGCCAATTTATCTAAGTATTGCAACTTAATACGAGAAAACAAAAAATACGTGTTTAATATTTTTTCATTATCTGACTGACGGACTAATTAAATTTTTAATTTTGATAACCTGGAAACTACCCAATTGTGCCCGGTATATGGCAATAGGCTCACCCCCTATTACATGGGACTCGTAACATAAATAGTGAAAAGTGGGTGTTACATTATGTTTGTGGACCTCTGTCTATCCCTTTGTGAAATAAAAGGCGTATACAACCTCCCTTTTCTATTTCATGAGGCGAAAACCATTAAAACGAAACAGTGCCACTTCCCTCGGAAATAATAAATATGGCGATCCTACCGGAAGTAAGGATCCGTTACGTCACATCCGGTAGCAAAATGTCACACGATGGTAGATAATTGGATAATCTTGTTTCTGTTAATATTTATTTGTTTATTGGATGTTTAAGTAGTTATTGCCACGTTGTCTGCCTCGTTGGTCGAGTGGTCGCAAGTGCGACTGCCGGGCAAGGGGCAAAGTATTATTTATTTATGTATACATATACAACATAAAGGGCAACACATATATAAAATTAAAATACAAAGGTACCACTTATTCCCATTGGAATTTCTTCCAGTGGACCTGGAGCAGGAAAAGTAATAATAATATAGTGACACAGTTTGTAGTAACAAATAGAAAATTCGGATAGGAAACAGACTTAAAACTAAACAGATAAAAAAACCAAACAACTACATACAATATATAAATAAATACATATAAAATATAAACTATACATATAAATGAAGAAATTTACATATCAGGAGGAAAGGTAGTGTTCTCTCACTCGTTTTTTAAAGATAGCGATAGACTCAGCGTCCCGAATGTTAGGCGGGAGCGCATTCCACAGTCTCACTGCATGAACGGAAAAGGAGTAGGAATAGAAATCGGTATTATGGGGCTCGATTTTAAGATTAGATTTAAGGTGTGAACGAGATAGGACTTCAGGAGGACGAACTAAGGAGAAACGGTCCCGAAGGTAAGCAGGATAGGCAGGGTTGAAGAGGATGTTATATAGGAAACATAAAATGCGAGTGTTCCTGCGAAGACGGATCGGAAGCCACTTGAGCCTATTGCGGAATACGGAAACATGGTCATACTTTCTTAAACCAAAGACAAAGCGGATACAAACATTTTGCAATCACTCAAGTTTATTACTGGGGTTTTAAGAAATATCTCAGTAGTAGCACGGAGTCTGGAATTGTGCCCGGTATATGGCAATAGGCTCACCTCTATTACATGGGACTCATAACATAAATAGTGAAAAGTGGGATGATACATTGTACAGTGGCATTAAGTACCGTAATGTGCATCTTTGCTTACCCCATTGGAGATAAAAGGCGTGATGTTATGACTTAACATCATAACCAACCGGTTATGATGTTAAGTCGTGATGGATGGGTTACCGGGGCTTCGGCTCGAAGTGCAGGAATAGGAACGGGGTGGTTTTTAGTCAGTAAGAGTCTGACAACTGACAATCCCGCCTCACCCAGGCGGGAGAAGTCATTCGGTGATTTAAACTTTGCCCTAAAGTGGTCAAATATATCTTAGACATCTGCCCGCACTCTATCGACAAGTATAAGTGCGACAGACGTATTAAATCACTGTTTGAAAACTTTATTCTTTCTATAGAACTTTAGGCCATATATTATATTTCCTTCAATACTTCCAAATGGGAATTTAAATATGGCTGCCAACGAGGAACGGTTGCATTTGAAATATTCGAACGAAATATTATAGGTATTTTTTGCCGTTCCAATTCTTCTTTTGTCCATTTTTAAATAACAGAATATGCATCCCCACCATATAGATGGTTGACAAGCCACAACTGTGCGCTTCTCTCGCAGCTTTCTGCCTCGCACAGCAAAATTGTGGAATGATCTGTCGTCGGCGGTATTTCCGAACCGATACGACCTTCAAACCTTCAAGAAAAGAGCGTATTCCTTTTTAAAAGGCCGGCAACGCACCTGTGACTCCTCTGGTGTTGCGGGTGTACATGGGCGGCGCTGATCGCTTACCATCAGGTGATCCGTCTGCTCGTTTGCCTCCTATTCCATAAAAAACGGGTTTTTATAATGGGAGCTAGAGCAGATGGCGCTAATTTTTTTTTATATTTAATGCGGCGACATTTGCCCACTATCTCGCCTGGTGGTGCACGATGATGCGGTCTACGATGGAGCACGTCGTCCCATAAGCAACCTATTCACTCGGGCCTTGAAGACTCCCAGGTTATACCCTTCAGGAAATACAGACTCTGGCAAAGAATTCCACTCCTTAGCAATACGTACAAGGAAGCTTGATGCGAAGCGCTTCGTGTGTGTGGGCGGAACATCTACCATGAATCGGTGACGCTTCGCCGATAGTCTTGTGGTACGATGATGGAAAGGACTAGGGGGAATTAAGTTGTGCAATTTGTTCAATCACATAACATAACATCACGCCTTTTATCCCCGAAGGGGTAGGCAGAGGTGCACATTATACCACTGTACAATGTAAAACCCACTTTTCACTATTTATGTTATGAGTCCCATGTAATAGGGGGTGAGCCTATTGCCATATACCGGGCACAATTGTTCAATCACTGCACGCGTAAATGTAGCCTGTGTTATTGCAGACTATAATCTATACCTGTTCCTAATTTCAACATGTCAGACTCTTGCTGACTAAAGACCACTCCGTTCCTTCTACTGCACGTCGAGCCGGGGAGCCCCGGTTTACCCGTTAAGTTCTCCGCGATTTCGAATCGGCATCGGCCCTGCTGGGCCCCATCTGTGGTGGTCTGATGGCTCTTTGAACTTTGATGGCGCGGAATGAGACGCGCCGTACGCTCGGGACTGTTTCTGGTCGGACGGGGAACCACCCATGCTCGCCGTCCGCAGGCCCGCGGTTACGGTAGCTGGAGGTCGTCCCGCGATCCCCGACGCCCGGTGTGTCCTCCGCGATGGCTGGGTCGCGAGGAGGCAGCCATTCGCTGCCTCACGCGTCCCGCCTCCTCCTTAGCTAGCATGACTGCTTCGCAAAAGGAGGAGACGGCAGTTATAATATCATTAAGATAAAATTACCTAGATATTTTTGTAATAATTTAATTTTTTTTTCTATTTCCAGATGACGGACCTCGGTTTTTGTCCAGAGGTCACTCGTTTCGGACTGTAGTCGGAGACACTTTACTGCTGCCATGTCAAGTACAAAACTTGGGTAAGTAAATACATTACTCAATTTAAGACCTTCTCATCGTCATCTTCAGCTGGAAGACGTCCACTGCTTCATACCCTGTGATTATCCTTATTCATTTATCAGTCACGTACCGTCCACTACCTCCCACAGTCTTCCCCCACAGACTACACAGCGCGCGGTTGGAGGGGACCTGCATGTGGCAGCTGTCTGCGACTTTAGTTTAAAAAAATATGGGTTGTTATTCAAAAGATTGCAAGCGCAATTTTGATTTTTATTATGACATTATACAAGATGTAGTTTTGAAGCCGTGTCATTTCTCGGGGGCATGTCACAGAAGTTCTAAAGGTTGAATGTAACAGAAGTTTCGGGCCAATAGTTAAAAGTAAGGCTATAATAAATCGTTTAAGTTCGACAGTATTTCAGAATAAGCGACAGCAATGTTTCTTATTGGAGATTTATGGAATTAGGAATGATATCAATTACGTGTTTGAGTTCGTGTGTGTTAAGCCGCGTTGTAAAGCTAGTTACAAGATGGCGGCGTGTACTTCGCACTTACGGATTTCCGTAATTTCAGAAAAATGAAAAATATTTACCTACAATTTTTTTATTGATAAGGACTCAGAATCGATACACGAGTTACCTCCTAAAAAATGACGCGGCTTTAAAACAACATGTGTATATATATAAATCCGTTTCTCTTTGTACACAGGTTCTCTAGTCCTCCTATGGCGAAGAGGGCCAGCAGTGCTGACAGCTGCCAGTCTGATGGTGACAAGAGATGAAAGATTTCGACTGGTGGATGGGTACAATCTGCAGATCACTGATGTAGGACCACAGGTAAAAATCCTCAATCCATACTACTCAATCGTCAATCGTCAATCGTCAATCATCAATCGTCAATCGTCAATCGTTAATCAGCCATCGTCAATCATCAATCGTCAATCATCAATCATTAATCAGCAACTCCCAACATCGAAATTCACAATACTTTTATGTTTTATATTAAAAGTTTCGTTAGACATGCTAAATTAATTATTATGTTTTCGGCTTACTCACGTAACTGTTTGACGAGGAACTCGACTAGTTTCAAGCCATGCTAGGGGCTCATATTCCCGAGCGTACGGCGGGTCGCGTTTCACGCGCGCCTCAAAGAGCCATCAGACCACCACGGATGGGGCCCAACAGGGCTGATGCCGATTCGGAGTCGCGGAGAAGCTAACGGATTACCGGGGCTCCGGCTCGAAGCGCAGGAGAAGGAACGGAGTGGTTTTTAGTCAGTAAGAGTCTGACACTCCCTCCCGCCTCACCCAGGCGGGAGCAGTTATTCAATGATTTTCACCTCTTAAAAAAGGGGCTCATATTGATGAGCAGCATTCCGCGACCCGCGACGCGGCGACTGTCGCGCTGCTACACATCCTTTATGGTTTGTGTACCTCATTGGACTAAAAATTTAAGAAGAGTACATTTTTATTTTAAACGGTTTCAATGAGATCTATTCTACCAATTAAGCCCTTTCGTTTGATATCCATAATGGAGGTAGTTGTGGAACATTAGATTATATTGTATGGTCGTCAAGATTAAGAGTGTGTACCAAATATCAGATCGATCTGCCAGAAAGGGGGGGAAATTACAATTGGGATGATGACAGGGTATGAAAATTAAAAATGTAATTAGTCCGTCAGTTAGGTAATGAAAAAATATTAGACACGTATTTTTTTATTTAGTCGTATAATAAAACAATACTTAGATAAAACGAATCAAAGTTTAGGAGTGGGGGCTAAAACGTCATTTCTACGTATAAAATATACATAGAAGTGACGTCACGCGACATTTCAAATCAATATATCGTCGAAAGTATTCGTTTCTGTAAGAAAATAAGAAATACGTGCCTAATGATTTAAAATAATCCACCAGACGGACAGTAAAATAAAAATTAAGCGTCTACCCTATTACTAAAGACACATACAAACAGGGCAAGCTTAATGAAACCATTTAAAAATATTTTATAAGGAAAAATCTTTGACCTAGTATTTTCGTCCGATATTCTTTTGGCTAACTCATGAATTTTAATTAACACTAAATCAAGTAATTTCCACAATCAGTTGATTAAATCTTCATCTAATGTCTTATAAAAGATCTTTTGAATAAATTAGATTATTTTCTTGTCATCCTACTAACCTATTATAGACGCGAAATTTAATGAGGATATTTTGTTTTTTTTTTATGGGATAAGCCGGTAAACGAGCAGACGGATCACCTGATGGTTAGCAATCAGTGTCGCCCATGGACATCTGGAATACCAGAGGCGTTACAAGTGCGTTACCGGCGTTTTAGGGATTAGGAATTTCCCGATTGTTAGGGATTCAGGGATTGGGGAGATTGGGGAGGGGATAGGGTAATTGGGCCTCCGGTAACCTCACTCACTCGTCGCGGAGAACCTAACGGGTTACCGGGGCTCCGGCTCGACGGGCAGACGAAGGAACGGGGTGATTTTTAGTCAGTCTGACTCGGGAACTTTTGTAAGCAAAATTATAAAAACTTGTCAATTTATATTTTATTTCAATAATCACAAAATGTATGCGTTCGTAGGTTGGCAGAAACCATGAAATAGAGAAATTTATTCCATGGCAGAAATTTTGGAAAAACTAAAGTAATCATGGTCCGATAATTTGGGTAGAGGCCGGGCCCGACCTGGAAAGTTTTCCGGTTTTAACAAAAATTATAAACAAACCTCTTCTGAGAAATTTTTAAGTACCTTTAATAAGGGCCCCCAAAGTAATTTCTATCCGGGGTCCCGCCAAGATACGCTACGCCACTGGTCTGTAGTAAGAGTCTAACCCTCCTTCCCGCCTCACCCAGGCAGGAGAAGTCATTCGATGATATTCCCGCTTAAAAAAAAACAGACCATAATATAAACTATGTTTTATTCTCCACTTTCTTATAGCGGAGAACGTAACGGGTTACCGGAACTCCGGCTCGACGTGCAGGAAAAGGAACAGGTGGTTTTTAGTCAGTAAGAGCCTGACGCTCCCTCCCGCCTCACCCAGGCGGAAGGAGTCATTCGATGACTTTCTACCCCTTAAAAAATTGTCCACTTTCTTAGCCTTATACTGAGATAAGTCACTTTCACGTTTACAAACTTTGGACTACTTTTAGAATATAAAACTACGGAACAAAATCAAACGCTGTTGCGTTGACACTGGCTCGACGTCACTCATGACGTGATTAAGTAACAAACATAAACACACAAACTTGTGCATTTATATTATTAGTAAGATAATTCCTATCCGTTCTTGGCTAGCCATTTTTTTATTGTAACAAGCCCGCTACAACCTCCCAAACCCGCTGCAACTCCTGTGCACCAGGATCTACAGTAGATACAACCATGCAAACACCGGAAAACTGAAGTCCAACGTCTCAGGGACATGAACAACTGTCTTGTATCCCACAACGATATAAATCAGAAGATATTGTATGAGATGAAGAAAAAATCATAGTTTCCACTTCCCTCGGTGCATTTCGGCAGGAGACAGAATGAATTAAGCAAAAAGAATGTAGCTAGTACAACTAGCTAGACATTTACTTAATAACCAGCCTAAAAATCCCTTAAAAATAGTAAACGGCTTTAAAATTCAAATCCCGCCTTTATGAGTCACAAATATCGTTTATAATACTAAAAATCGTTCTACAAATTTCGGTAGCCGTCAAAAAATGCTAAATAGCACCCTAAACGGTAATTGGCTAGGGAAAATATGATAATAGCCGCATAAAAACCTTTGTGGTTATACATCCTCGTTATTTTTTATGTGTTGCAACACTGAGGTACGATTTCCCGCGCAATTTTAGTCGGCCATGATGGTTTTTTTATATTTTTTATTTTGCAAGTTGTTTTTTTTGTGAAAGTTTCTTTTTATTTTGATTGACTGGTTTGATGGTTGAGTTGTGAAGAAGTGTGATAGCCGACTACCTCGTTAAGGGCAAGGGTTATATTCCCGGGAACGGCAAAGTATTAAAGAGTTCTTAAAAAAAATCTCAGTTGTAACACGGAGCCTGAAATTGTTCCCGGTATATGGTAATAGGCTCACCCTCTATTACACGGGACTCATAACATAAATAGTGAAAAGTGGGTTTTACATTATACAGTGGCATTAAGTGCCGTAATGTGCACCTCTGCCCACCTCTTCGGGGGTAAAAGAGCGTGGTGTTGTGTTATATATGTAATACCCGAGTAGAAGTCTCGATTTGAATTTTGAGTCCTGGATTTTTTTATTATTTTCGATTTAAATTACTGATAATAGAAACACTTGAATACATTACTTACAGTATTTGAAAAATAATACGCTATTGTCTACCAGTAGATAGATTCTGTAGAATATAAGAGAGATACATACTATTTTTTTTTAATGGGGAAAAATCATCGAATTACTGTTCCCACCCGGGTGAGGCGGGAGGGAGTGTCAGACTCTTACTGACTAAAAACCACCCCGTTCCTTTCTACTGCACGTCGAGCCGGAGCCCTGGTAACCCGTTCGGTTCTCCGCGACATATACATATAATAAAACTGTAGACGTGTAAATTCTGTACATTGAAAATATATAAAAAAAGTAGGGGGTGTTACTAGATACCGAACCCAAAAACGTGATTAAAAAAAATGTTTGTCTGTCTGTCTGTTTAGTCATGTATCACGCAATCACTACCGGTCCGATTACGATGAAACTTCGTAAGGTTATCCTTTTGTATTCTGGGCACAACACTGGGTATTTTTTATCCCTAAAAACTATATACCTACACGAAAAAACAAACTTAATAGGGTAGATGCCGAATTTTTATTTTAATGTCCGTCTGGTAGATTATTTCAAGTCATTAGACACGTATTTTTTATTTTCTTACAGAAACTAATACTTTCGACGATATATTGATTTGAAATGTCGCGTGACGTCACTTCTATGTACCTACATTTTATATGATTGTAGAAATGACGTTTTGATCCCACTCCTAAACTTTAGTTCGTTTTATCTAAGTATTGTGTTATTATACGACAAAATAAAAAAATACTTGTCTAATATTTTTTCATTACCTAACTTACGGACTAATTAGATTTTTAATTTTCATACCCTGTCATCATCCCCATTGTGCGGCTCAATCCCTAGACGAAGTTACTGCACCAAACGCAAATATAAGTATGTCGAATGTTAGGTTGCGCGCAGTGAATTTTACGCTGTAACTGCAGGGCCGATGGTTGAAATTAGCTTTAACCGATATTATCAATGTGAAAATATGTAAGTTTGTATATATAATCACAAGATAAGCAGATATGACTGCCTCGTTGGTCGCACGTGCGACTGCCGGGCAAGAGGTCTCGGGTTCGATTCCCGGGTCGGGCCAAGTATTACTGGGTTTTCAAAAATCTCAGTAGTAGCACGGAGTCTGGAATTGTGCCCGGTATATGGCAATAGGCTCACCCCCTATTACATAGGACTCATAACTAAATAGTGAAAAGTGGGTGTCACATTGTATAGTGGCATTAAGTGCCGTAATGTGCACCTCTGCCTACCCCTTCGGGGATAAAAGGCGTGATGTTATGTGTTTATGTTTATAAGCAGATATCTTCAACCGATTGAACTGAAATTTTGTTACTTTAAAGATACAGCATGAAGACAGAAAGAAAAAGTAATTCTGTTTAATTCATCTAATTTGAAGCTTCTCAATTCCAGGATGCCGGTGATTACGTCTGTCAAATCTCAGATCGTGTAGCCAGAGACCAGGTGCATACTGTGGAAGTACTAGTCCCTCCGAGCGTGAGAGCGTCGCCCGAGTCTCGGCACGCGGCCGCCAGGAGAGGTGGCGCTGCTGTGCTCGAGTGTCGCGCGGCTGGCAACCCCGTACCAACTGTCACTTGGCATAAACTTGTAAGTGTCTATGATTTGTGTAACTAGTGTGGGAGTCCCATGCTTCGGCACGAATGGGCCGGCTCGACCGGAGTGATACCACGGCCGAGCAGAAAACCGACGTGAAGCAACGTTTGCGTTGTGTTTCGTCGTGTGAGTGAGGTTACCGGAGGCCCAATTACCTTCCCCTTCCCCAATCTCCCCAATCCCTGAATCCTCAAACTCCTAATCCCCAAAAAGCCGGTAACGCACTTGTAACGCCTCTGGTGTTCCAGGTGTCCATGGGCGACGCCGATTGCTTACCATCAGGTGATCCGACTGCTCGTTTACCGGATTATGCCATAAAAAAAATAGAAAATGATGATAATGGTTCTCCCTAGTCCTCTCTTTTCTGTTATCATACCACAAGACAATCGGCGAAGCATCACAGGTTCATGGTAGATGTCCCACCCACACGCACGAAGCGCTTCGCATCAAGCTTCCTTGTGCGTACTGCTAAGGAGTGGAATTCTTTGCCAGAGTCTGTGTTTCCTGGAACGAGCACCTAGCTTTACTGACAGACTATCCTTACTAATATCGGAGTCGCGGAGAACCTAACGGGTAACCGGGGCTCCGGCTCGACGTGCAGGAGAAGGAACGGGGTGGTTTTTAGTCAGTAAGAGTCTGACACTCCCTTCCGCCTCACCCAGGCGGGAGCAGTCATTCGATGATTTTCACCCCTTAAAAAAAAAATCCTTACTAATATTATAAATCAGAAAGTGAGTTTGTTTGTTTGTTCCGCTTTCACGCCGTAACTACTAAACCGGTGAAAAGTGGGTGTTACATTGTACAGTGGCATTAAGTGCCGTAATGTGCGCCTATCCCTTCGGGGGTAAAAGACGTTATGTTATGTTATATAATAAACTCTATTGCTAAAGTGATAGAGCATCTTTTATATAAGTAGGTGATTCCTGTTTTCCAGAATGACACGAATACAAGACTAGGAGAGGGTCCACAGCTGCAACTGTCGAGGTTAGAGAGAGGACACAGTGGTCGATACGCTTGCACTGTCGATAACGGCGTGGGTGCACCTCTAGTCGCTGAATTCCAGTTGCAAGTTTTATGTAAGTACCAGCAGACCCAACAGACGTTGTCCTGCATATAATATAATAATAAGTATAGATAAATAACCTAATTATCGACTGTAGCGCCATCTGCCGGGTTGATTTGTGAATCTAAACCATTCCCAGATCCCCTTGAACACACACAAAAAAATTCATCAAAATCGGTCCAGTCGTTTGAGAGAAGTTCAGTGGCATACACTCACAGAAGAATTATATATATAAAGACAGTCTAACAAGCTTTTATTTAACTCGCAATGTATGTGTGCGTATGTGAAATCTTGCATCTGAATGTTGAAGCAGATATCTTCAACCGATTGAACTGTGTATACACGTTTAGTTTGCATGATAATTAATACTGTTTAATTTAAATTATGTAAAAGCTTTCCGTTAGGTATTTTAGGTACTGTGAGACGACGAATATCAACTAAATAAACGTATTTTTTTTTTCTTTTTGGCAACGGAGTCTCTAATACAGTGTTGTCGACAGTGCCGTAACTAGCCTTCTAGGCGCTCGGTGCCAGCTTTCAAAACTGCGCCCTTGAAAAATATCCTTCCCAGGCTGTGACAATAAAATGGACAAATGTGCATGAAAATATAACTGTTTATTGTTTACCAAGTTATAGGTCGGTTCTTAGTAGATGTTTTAAGACAATTCGTTGCTGCCATTCTGCCATGAGATCGCGCCGGAGCTCTTCCCGCCACGCACTTATCTGGCGCGGCAGCGGAGTTTCGCCCCTGCGACGTGCCTCCGCGCGCATGCGATACACAGCACCTTCGCCTCCAGACGGCGGTAATCCGGCAAGGAGGTTCGACGCCTTCCCGGAGATCGTGCGGTATCCGCGGATCATTCGGATCGCCATGACCCGCTGTGACATGAGCAGCGCCCGAGCGGACCGCCGCATCAGGTTCGGCGCCCACACAGGGGCGCCGTAGAGGGCCATGGACCGCACGACCCCGGCGTATAACCTCCGGCAGGAGGCGTTTGGCCCCCCGAGGTTGGGGAGGATGCGCTTAAACGCAGCCCCCATCCTCTCCAACTTTGGAGCCAAACGTCGGAAGTGCTCCACGAAGTTCCACCGACTGTCGAGGACGAGTCCTAGGTACTTCATCGCCATCTCGTCGCCGATGGTAACCCCTCCCGCTGTTATTTGGAACTCAGCCGGAGGTGGTGCGTTCCCGCGGCCATGAAAACACATGGCCTCGGACTTGTGGAGCGCCACCTCGAGTCCCAACTGCCGGATTATCTCAACGACTGTCGCAACCGCTGTCGCCATTAAGTCGGCTGCCACCTGGTGCAACCTCCCGTGCGCTAGCACCAGCGTATCGTTGGCGTGGCATATGATGCTAACGCCGTTCGGGAGGTCGGTGCGCAGCACCCAGTCATAGCCCATGTTCCACAGGAGCGGCCCCAGAACCGAACCCTGTGGAACACCTCTGTGACATCTCTCGCCGGTTCCACTCGCCCCGGTGACCGGGGTAAATGACGGACCTGTCCGTCAGGTAAGCCTCGATTACACGACGGAGGACACCCGATGATATCGGAGTGCCTCCAAGATGCAGCTCCAGGGCAGGGAGTTGAAGGCGAGGCGGTCAGAAATTATTCTTTCGAAGACTTTCACCACCTCGTCGAGCAGCACTATTTCCGCACGACTGCACGAGGACCAGTTTACCCGCTTTCCAGAGCAGCGGGAACTGGCCTCTCTCCAAGCATGCGCTGTAGAGACCGATTAATCGAGGCCCGAGAGCCTCGATCCATGCTTTGCCATACAAGCCGTCGGGTCCTGGAGCGGTGTTCTTGGCGCCCATCCGGCGCACCGCCGCTCTCAGTTCTGCCTCGGTCACCTCTGAGACGATGTCGTCGTCGTCGTCGCTATAGCTCGCTTCAGGCACCGCAGGGGGCGGAGTCATATACGGAGAGGTGCAGCCCCCCCACAGTCGGGGAAACAGGGCGCCAATCACCTCCTCTAAGACGCGCGGAGGACGGATGCGGCGCCTGCTGTGCCTAGTGTACTGGCGTCAGGCAGCAGTGCACGCCTTGCGTAGAGCTACCAGCTCTTGCGACCACCATTACACCTGGCGCTTTTGTTGTCTCAATCCCTGGACATAGCGTCCTGGAACCACTTGTCCTCATCGTCAATGTCGGCAGGCCTGACCGGTGGTATCACCCAGGCCTGCACGATAGCGGCTTCCAGGAGCAGCTCCCGGTCTGACCGGCGGGTCTGCGGACTCGGCGGAGACGTCAAACCGGATATACCGGTGGTCGGAGTAGGTACGTCTCCACCTCCTCCATGACGTAATTACTACAGCCGCGATCCCAGGGGCGAGGAGCAAGGCAGCAGCGCGTTTCTCCCTGCGCTGCTGCTGCCGTCGCTGCCGCTGCGCCTTCTTGCGGCGCTTACGGCCCTCCTTGGCGACTCTCCTCGCCTCACCAGCGATTTGCCACCCGCCGCGGGCACAGACGCCCAAAGTTATAGTATAGGTACTTTTGTTTGTGTATGTAATATTGCGAGCAAGACCTAAGGTGGATATACATTTGTCTGATGTGTAGTGAGTCGTTTAACATGTGTTGTTGATTCAAGATCGTTTAAAAATGCGATACAGATTTAGATAGTACAGTCTGGTCATTTCTGCGCCCCTCCAGGGTCTGCGCCCTGTGCCTGGGCACCGCTGGCACCGCCCTATTTACGGCGCTGGTTGTCGACTATACTGCCAGTGTCGAGTGGTGGTCACTTATATAATCTATGTTATTTGCAATACTTGCTGTCATGTTGACGCTGTCATCTGTCAAATGTGACAGATTATTAAAGTTTCCCGCGCTATAAGTTGTAACGGGCATTCGGGTGGGTGACGAGCATTGCACTGTTTTCTTAAGGAGGCCATGCACAGGTTATGCATGATGGTTATAACTGTGCATGCAAAACCGACAAGCATAACCAAGCACCGATGCCCGATAACTGTGCAGTTTAATCACATACACGCTAGGGCTTGCCTGTCGCTTAACCCCTCGAGCGTCCTTATAAGCACCCGGTGGATCATAAGAAAAAATGCTCCATGCTACTTTCTCTTTTATAAAATCTATATTGTTTTGTTTTTATTTGGCCTGTATTTTTTATTTCTGTTGTAATGATCCTTGTTTTCGTGTGCCAATGGCCAAATAAATGCATTTTCTTTCTTTATTTCTTTCTTTCTCCAAATGTCATGTGTGCACCCGTTGTATCATAAGGAACGCGGACGCTCGACGGGTTTTGCATGCACAGTTATAACCATGATGCATAAGCTAGCGCGTATGGCCTGCTTTAAAAGAATCCATTTTATAATAAACTTTCAATAGTTGAGTATTTAAGTTTAACTTAAAAATACTAATATGTATCTAAGTATCTCGTATTTACTTTTAACCGACTTCGAAAAAAATGTGTAAAATATTGTATTTTACTTTTCAGATCCACCAGAAATAACAGTAGAGAGGTCGTGGGTGCATACTGGAGAAGGTTTCAGGGCTGAACTGCTGTGCACAGTGCTGGCAGACCCACCAGCAGAGGTATGCATCACAAATTCATCCTTACTTATATTACTACTTGACATAACTTTTTTATTTATGAACCGATTGACATGAAACAAACACTAAAGCATAACTGAAGCATACCACAATATATTCGTGAAAACCGCATCTAACTCGGATCAGCCGTTTCTGAGATTAGCGTGAACAGACAAACAGACAAAAAAAAAGTTAATTACATTTTTGGGTTCGACATCGACATAACAATAACCCCTGCTATTTTTTTTATATTTATTTTCAATGTACAGACAGCACTTTTCTACAATTTTATTATATATGTATCGAGTATCGATGTATCGATGTATTGATGTATCGATCGGAAAGTGAGTTTGTTTGTTTGTTCCACTTTAACGCCGTAACTACTAAACCGATTGTTTTGAATTCTTGCAGACGTGAAGTTGGAAGTCTGGATTAAATAATAGGGTACTTTTTATCCCGGAAAAATTTGATATTCTCGAGGAAAAACGAAATTATTGGTATAGATGGCGCTGTGTGTATTGATATATGTCACATAAGCTACTTTTTACCCTTTTGTGACGCGAGCGAAGCCGCGGGTAAAAGCTAGTTCATAGATATAATATCAGAGATGGCGATGAACGCACAGGTTCAAGTAGTCAGTCTCTACGACGCCCACGCTGTTCATGAATAAGTCGCAGGCCACCACGGATGGGGCCCAGAATGCTGATGTCGATACGGATCCGCGGAGATCTTAACGGGTTACCGGGACTCCGGCTCGAAGTGCAGGAGTAGGAACGGGGTGGTTTTTAGTCAGTAAGAGTTTGACACTCCCTCGCGCCTCACCCAGAGTTGCAGCGATTTTATGAGGCTGTGGCGGGCTTATCCCAAAAATCTTGGTACAAAAAATCTGTTTTATGTTTCCAGGTGACCTGGTATCAGAACTCTTTCCCTCTGAGCGCCTCAGAGAGGGTCACAATGTCCGCCCGAGGAAACAACCACACCCTCCTCATTGCAAATGTCCAGCCTGAAGACTTTGGTAACTACAGGTATGGAAGTTTTGAGTGAAATACAAGGTGTAGTTTTGAAGCCGTGTCATTTCTCGTGAACATGTCACAGAAGTCATAAAGGTTCAATGTAAGAGAAAATTTCGGGCCAGTAGTTAAAAATACGGCTATAATAAATCGTTTCAGTTGGACATTATTTCAGAAAAAGCGACAGCAATGTTTCTTATTGGAGTTTTATGGAATTAGGAATAATATCAATTACGTGTTTGAGTTTATGTGTATTAAGCCGCGTTATAAAACTAGTTACAAGACGCCGGCGTGAAGTTCGCACTTACGGATTTCCGTAATTTACAGAAAAATGAAAAATATTTACCTACAATTTTTTTTATTGGTTCGGACTCAGAATCGAGCCGAGTTACCTCCTAGAAAATGACGCGGTTTTAAAACAACACCTTATATATAATCTGCATTATTGACTTTGACTTTGACGTTTTTTTGACTGCACGCACGGTTGATATGGTGGCTGGGCAACTGGCTGCCGCGCAACGTATAGCGGTTCCCGCACGGAACAACTCTACGTCTGAACCACAGATTGTAGTTCCAGGTCTGTGTGTGATGTGTACAGTGTATGTGAACTTGTATGTTTGTAAACGCACACATGACACAGGAGACAATCCTAGTGTGGGGCAACGTTTAAAAAGAACAAAAATTGGTTGCCTGTAAAGTATACGGGCAAAAGTTTTACGTGACAACGACTTTGAGTGGTAAAATAATTTTAATGTGAATATTCATTCGCATAGTAGGAAGAAGGATGAAATAATTCACTTTTTATGTCTGTCTCTCTCGCTCTTACGCGGGCTAACCATGCCCGAGTGGAAGGGACGGGTGCCTTTCACTTTTTATGTCTGTCTCTCTCGCTCTTAGGCGGGCTAACCATGCCCGAGTGAAGGGACGCGTGCCTTTCACTTTTATGTCTGTCTCTCTCGCTCTAGGCGGGCTAACCATGCCCGAGTGGAAGGGACGCGTGCCTTTCACTTTTTATGTCTGTCTCTCTCGCTCTTAGGCGGGCTAACCATGCCCGAGTGGAAGGGACGCGTGCCTTTCACTTTTTATGTCTGTCTCTCTCGCTCTTAGGCGGGCTAACCATGCCCGAGTGGAAGGGACGCGTACCTTTCACTTTTTATGTCTGTCTCTCTCGCTCTTAGGCGGGTTAACCATGCCCGAGTGGAAGGGACGCGTGCCTTTCACTTTTTATGTCTGTCTCTCTCGCTCTTAGGCGGGCTAACCATGCCCGAGTGGAAGGGACGCGTGCCTCTCACTCGCTCTCATTGTGAGCGGAGCGTAACGCAGTTTCTTGAAGTGTCACCCGGCAAACTGTGCGGCAAACCAATTTATAAGACAACTCACGTCAAAAACAACATCAACTCTGACTTTAGCCTCACTTAATTTTGAATTTTACATCAACTTCAGCATCAGCAGCAGCTATATAAACGTCAAAGTCTATTTTTGCTAAAAAGCCATCAGCTCGACGCGACGGTAACCGACAGCTCTGTGTGACGTCGTCCGTAATATCTCGTACATTACAACTGCCTCGTTGGCCGAGCGGTCGCAAGTGCGACTGCCGGGCAAGGGGTCTCGGGTTCGATTCCCGGATCGGGCAAAGTATTACTGGGTTTTTAAAAAATTCTCAGTAGTAGCACGGAGTCTGGAATTGTGCCCGGTATATGGCAATAGGCTCACCCCCTATTACATGGGACTCATAACATAAATAATGAAAAGTGGGTGTTACATTGTACGTACAGTGGTATAATGTGCACCTCTGCCTACCCCTTCGGGGATAAAAGGCGTGACGTTATGTTATGTTATTCCAACTGCTCAGTGTCGCGCCACGCTCGCTGTGTGTAGAGACGTTAAACATTGACTAATTATCTTCCTTTCCCTCCTAGTTGCGTGGCAGACAACAGCCTGGGCCGCGCGCGCCAGCACGTGGAGGTGTCCGGTCGGCCCGGACCAGCGCGCTTCACTTCCGCACCGCTCGCTCGCGCGCACACGCGGTACTTACTCGCCTTCGCAGTCGACAGCTACCCGCCGCTAGACGAGCTCCGGCTTCTTTACCGACAGTTGGCGGTATGTATTCTACATCTTCTTAACACATTTCATTTTAAGTGTGGGCTAATGCTTCGGCACGAATGAGCCGGCTCGACCGGAGTGATACCACGGTCGAGCAGAAAACCATAGTGAAACAATTTTTGCGTTGTGTTTCGTCGTGTGAGTAAAGTTACCGGAGGCCCAATTATCAAATCAAATCAAATCAAATCAAATCAAAATTCGCAAAAACATGTGTATACATACACACACACGCAGGTGCATGTATGTAGGATGATAAAAAATAGAACAGTTGCACTTAATACATGTTTACCACTTGTCATGGCATGCAAATTTTTAGTAAGTATTAATCATATTATCATCGTTAAATATTTATAAATGTCAAATGAAATTGTATGTAGGTAGGTATGTCAAAATTAAAACTATAGATACAGTTATGTCATATTAAATTCGTACAATATGTCACACTCATAGTAAGAATCACATAACCAATAAAACAATCACAACCAATAAAATAATCATAATCATAATTTATAAAATAATAGCCATGTCTTACTTCAATCAAATAACTGTGTCATTTAAGAATTCGGTGACACACTATCCTCCCCCCCTCTTCCCCGATCTCCACAAATCCCTGAATCCCCAACAATCTTCAAATTCCTAATCCCCACAAAGTCGGTAATCATCGATATCGTCGAATGGCTCCTCCCGCCTTGGGTAAGACGAGAGGGAGTGTCAGACTCTTACTGACCAGCCCATTCGTACTCCTGCAAGAGCCAGAGTCCCGGTAGCCTTTGCGGTGCTCTGTAACTCCGGTCGGGTTCTTGAGGTGTGACAAAATAATTGACAAGGTTGGTGCGGTGGCTGGGCAACCGGCTGCCGTGCAACGTGTCGCGGGTTCGCACCGTTGTCCCGCACGGAACAACATTTTGTGTCATCCGCAAATTGTCGTTTCGAGTCTGTGTGTGATGTGTATGTGAACTTGTTTGTTTGTAAACGCACCCACGACACAGGAGACAATCCTAATGTAGGGCAACGTTTTATGAAAGAAACAAAAAAGAAAATTATATCTTCTTTTTGGTCCATTCGCCTCTATCAGAAACCAACCCTCAAAAAGCCAGCAACACACAGCCAGAGTTACAAGTGTTCGCAGTGTGTTGTTTTTTTTTATATCCTATAGCCTTCCTTGATAAATGGCTTATCCAACACAAAAATAATTATCCGATTCGAACCAGTAGTTACAGAGATCAGCGCGGTCAAACAAACTCATTAGTTTTGTAATATTTTAGTACTGTAGCGGTTGCCCGCGACTTCGTTCGCGTGGAATTGTGATTCACAGCTCCTCCCCCATAGATGATAGCGTGATAATATGTACCCTATATGTTGACCCGACCTGTTAGTAATATTCATGCAAAATTTGAAGTAAATCCATGCAGTACTTTTGGAGATCATCCCGAACATACATACAGACAAACAGACAAAAATTCTAAAAACCATATTTTTGGCTTCTGTATCGATTGTAGATCACGCCTAAAGTATTTTTTTTAAACATGCTTCTGCCCGCGACTTCGTACGCGCAATTCCGATGTTTCCCGTTCCTGTAAAAAGTAAAAAAAAATTGGGTAAAAAGTATCCTATGTCCGTCTCCTGGTTCTAAGCTACCTCCCCACCAATTTTCATCCAAATCGATTTAGCCATTCTTGAGTTATAAATAGTGTAACTAATACGACTTTCTTTTATATATATAACTAGCTTCTGCCCGCGACTTCGTACGCGCAATCCCATTTCCCCCCGTTCCCGTTCGTGATTTTCGGTAAAAAGTAAAAAAAAGGTATTGTATAAAAAGTATCCTATGTCCGTCTCCTGGTTCTAAGCTACCACCCCGCCAATTTTCATCTAAATCGATTGAGGCGTTCTTGAGTTATAAATAGTGTAACTAACACGACTTTCTTTTATATATATAGATAGATAATCAATGTAAAGATTTGACTTTTCTACGATTTTATTAAATGTATAGATAGATATAGATATGAATAGCCCACCCCTTATGTTTTCAGATCAATGAGTCGTTCCAGCAGCCTGGCAGATGGCATGACGTGGTGATTCCAGCGCCGGAGCCGGCTGGGTCCCTTACGCACCGCGTCACTCACGAGCTCAGGGGACTGCAGCCAGGAGCCGTGTATGAAGCTATAGTGCAAGCCAAGAACAGATATGGTTGGAATGAAGTAAGATGGCCTTTTTGTTAAAACAACAGTTAGCCTGCCCCATTTCTTTGTAGTCGTGACGCCCCGGAGGTTTAAGACGCCCACTTCTCATGCATGAGGGTGCGGGCTCGAAACCTACCAACGGCAAGTACCAATGTGACTTTTTCCGAGTTATATGTACTTTCTAAGATTATCTAGACACCACTGACAAACGGTGAAGGAAAAACATCGTGAGGAAACCTGGACTTATAATTTCTAATTATAAGTTTGAAATCGCCAACCCGCATTGAGCAAGCGTGGTGATAATGCTCTAACCTTCTCCGTGTGAGAAGAGGCTTTGCTCAGCAGTGGGCATTTATAGGCTGTTGATGATGATGATGATTTCTTTGTAACTGGTATTTTACCCCCTTACGACAAATCGATCTGATATTTGGTACACACTCTTAATCTTGATGACCATCTTTACTATCCTTACTTATATTATAAATCAGAAAGTGAGTTTGTTTGTTTGTTTGTTCCACCTTCACGCCGTAACTACTAAACCGATTGCTTTGAAATTTTGCAGACGTAAAGTTAGAAGTCCGGATTAAATAATAGGGTACTTTTTATCCCGGAAAATTTTTATATTCCCGAGGGAAAAGAAAAGTATTGGTATAGATGGCGCTGTGTGTATTGGCATATGTCACATTGCCTTTTTATCCTTTTGTGACGCGAGCGAAGCCGCGGGTAAAAGCTAGTACAATATAATTTAATGTTCCACAACTACCTCCATTATGGATATCAAACGAAAGAGCTTGGTTGGAGGGTCGTTTGCATGGTTGTATCTACTGGAGGCCCTGGTACCAGAATTTACAGCTGTTTTGGAAGGTTTTGTCGGCCTTGTCCTTATTTATTCTCATTGTTGACGGAATATTACCAGATTACTAATTTCCTGACTCGGTGGCCGAATGGTCGTAAGTGGGACTGCCAGGCAAGGAGTCCCGGCTTCAATTCCCGGGTCAGGCAAAGAATTACTGGGTATTTTTTCAAAAAATCTCAGTAGTAGCACGGAGTCTGGAATTGTGCCCGGTATATGGCAATAGGCTCACCCCCTATTACATGGGACTCATAACATAAATAGTGAAAAGTGGATGTTAAATTGTACAGTGGCATTAAGTGCCGTAATGTACATCTCTGCCTACCACTTCGGGGATAAAAGGCGTGATGTTATTATGTTACTAATTTTCTGAAACATTGAATAAAGTAATGGAAGAGTAGAATAGATTTGTCTCCACATTAGGCAGATACCTTGCAGCAGCCCCTCTCTGATAAACCTGAACCTTTTATACTGCGATCTCTAACTCCAAGTGTGAAAATTATGGTATAGATATCTTAAGTACAGGAAGCCAAGAGTCCAATGGACTGCACGGATGAATAATGATAATTTGACTTACTTGAATTACGTTCCTATGTCCCCTGAATGGGGCCGAGGACGTCCACGGAGGTCCTCCATCTTGATCGGTCTTGCACTTCCCACTTCGCCTTGCTCCACGTTGTTATGTTGGTGGATTAATTAATTATAGTCGGATTTATTTTACTTGGATTTATTACTATAATGTGCAGGGCGCACGACGTGTACACACACTAGACTATGACAGGTAGACAGCGGCGTTAATGACGAGTGTTCTACCTTATATAACACATTATAGTGAGGGGGCCATTACTTAGGTACTAATTAGTGATGTACATACATGTAACAGACGTCATTCCGATGCCCACTGGTTCTGCCAACACAATACGCCGTCAGGTTTACCGAGGATGGCCACATTTCCATTTCCCTGGGTATTCTAGTCCGTGGCTTGTTTAGCAAAGTGGTTGGGACCTCTTCAGAGAGTGTGGCCAATTCATTCCCATTGCGGCGTTTGGTTTAGCGATCGATGGGGCTTTCTGTTTTTATTCCAGTCATCTGGTAGCTCTGGAGTAATAAGAGGCGTCAAAACTTCGACTTGAAAGTCTTCGTCGATACTACAACTCGTCTTGAAAAGTCAACTTGTAGCATCTCCGCTGTGATGAGGTTCAGTACCGGCGCTTTGCCAGTCTTCAGAGAATGAACTGCTATAACCACTTCCAGGGCTGAAGGTGGATCATTATCAATGTCGAGAAGCCCCGGTTGTGAGAAATAATTAATATGCAGATCGGAGTGTCGAGGTTGCTGATAAGCGAAAGACCTCTTCAAGGTGATGACGTCAACGTGTCAGCTGCCCTTCTGATGTCACATTACTTACTGCACACACATTACTTGCTACACATGCACTTAATGCATCCCCATCATATAGATGGTTGGCAGGCCACAACTGTGCGGTTCTCAAGTAGCTTCCTGCCTCATACAGCAAAACTGTGGAATGATCTGTCGTCGGCGGTATTTCCGAACCGATACGACCTTCAAACCTTCAAGAAAAGAGCGTATTCCATTTTAAAAGGCCCGCAACGCGCCTGTGACTCCTCTGGTGTTGCGGGTGTCCATGGGTGACGCTGATCGCTTACGATCAGGTGATCAGTTTTCTCGTTAAAAAAAAAGTTGTCCATATTTAGATTTCAGCGGCTTTTTTTCTGGTCTTACTACCACCTGCCAATGATTTTGTCGCACTAGTAAACGATAATTTACAACTATTATAATCATTTTTTCCAGGTCAGCGACATCTTCCAGTTCCATACTCTAGGCGGCACACACACGGCACACGCAGACGAACTAACACCAATGTTCGCGGCGACGTCCCGACCACAACTGGCAAGTTCTGTACTCCTCGCCTTAATATACGCCCTGCGCCTCATTTGAACCGACCAATCAGCGATCTCCGTTTTAAATTTTTGACGTTTGTTTTTTTAATCGTATAACGATGTGACACCAAAACTTTCTAGTCGATAAGCTTTTTATAAGAGTTGTGACATGGATGTGTTATCGCGATTCGGTTAATATTTTGTATTCATATTGTACCTAATTTTTCGTGGTTTGGACGTGGTTTTTAATGTTTTAGCTAATACAAAAATCTACTGAATACTCGTACATTTTGTCATATTTTATTATAACAGATTAAATCTTAAGAAAATATTACTTTAATATTTTTCTTACTATATTTGGTCGAAATTCTGTTGACAAGATTTGCCAATTGACATTTGAAACCGCGCGCAAATTACATCAAAGATGGCGTTCGAATATGCTTAAATTAATGTTGCCATACCTCAAATCATTCTACCATTTTGTAAAAAACGCATAAATCTTAGGAGTTATACAAGTTTAATTTTGATTTATTCTACTTTGTGACTATGAACGCACATTTTAAATTAATTATTATTTTGAATTGTATAGACGCCAGTAACGATGTAATTAATAGTGAAATTGTCCTCAATATGAAGATTTCTAGCGATTTTTAAAGAGGAATTTTAACTCGTCGAGTACCGGTTTTATAGACACAATTAAAGAACAATAGGTCGCGGTCACCGGTGACCGCTTGGTGTTTGACAGTTTAATGTCTTATACAAATATAATTTGCCAAGAGTAAATATACAATTAGGTGTATCACTATTGCACCACTAGAGGTCGCTAAGGAGACTCGAACTCTTTTGTCCAGTTAGCTTAGTCTAACGACTTGATTATAGCAAGTATTCCATTGGTCAAAAGACTTTAAGCTATTTCAGCGCCTCTTATAGGTAGCGTAATTGAAAATCTTCATACTTGTATATTTATTCAAAATAAGGAAAAATCGTTAGAAAACTTCATATTTCATACGTTTTTTATTTTAAAACATTTGTTTTATTAAATGGAACCTAATGAAATCTAGTCGTATCACGTTTAAATTATGATTTCGCATAAAATACGCTTTTTAATATTATATATATATATATTTGTAACAAACAATAATAATATTTTTACTCGTGACATCTATTGTAAAGTGAATTTACTATTATTACGTAGTTTGTAAACTTATTGTAAGAAACGACAGAAGGAATTAACGAAGACAGAAGACTTCTGTGATGACCTTATCATGTAAAAGCAGAGCGTCTCTGGTAACAATATAAGTATTTATGAATCCATTATTAGGCACTTTTGAATGGGGTATATGCCTAATTTTTATTTCAATGTCCGTCTGGTAGATTATTTTAAATCATTAGACACGTATTTTTTATTTTCTTACAGGAACGAATACTTTCGGCGATATATTGATTCGAAATGTCGCGTGACGTCACTTCTATGTATATTTTATACATAGAAATGACGTTTTAGCCCCTACTCCTAAACTTTGATTCGTTTTATCTAAGTATTGTTTTATAATACGACAAAATAAAAAAATACGTGTCTAATACTTTTCCATTACCTAACTGACGGACTAATTAGATTTTTAATTTTCATACCCTGTCACCATCCCAATTGTCTATCAGTGAAGCTAGGTGTTTGATCCAAAGTCAAACGTTAAACAATATAAAAACTGTCAGTCTATCGGCCAGTCCTCTAGTTGCTCTGTTTGCTCGTTCCAAAGCGTAGATTCTTATGTAGAAGAACGAGGAAATAACTCCATAGGTTACTATTGACGCTGAAACTGCAGTAATCACAGCTGTGAGCTGAGTACAGTATGTCTACATACATTGATATCTCGCTGAAAACTTTGCAAAATGATTCAGAATTTTGTAAAAATCTCCATAATTATATTGTTACCACTGGTGCTCAAGATCTGTTGTTCGCTTTTTACGACATTATTATTCGATAAAACTGTTTCTAACTGAAAGATACAAGAAATGCCATCTTTTCAAAGTTTCCGATACGTTTATACGAAAGTAATATTATGTATTAAAACTAAACTTTTATAACCCAACTAGCTACTTCCGCGCGGTTTCACACGCTCTGCTCAGCTCCTATTGGTCGTAGCGTGATGTTTACTAGCCTATAACCATCCTCGATAAATGCGCTATCCAACACAAAAAGAATTATTCAGAGTAATTCTGATTAATCAGACTTGCAGTTACGGAGATTAGCGCATTCAAACAAACAAACAAACAAAAAACAAACTCTTCCGCTTTATATAATAGTATAAGATATAAGATAATATATGTAGACACAATGATACACCAGTATTAAATGACCGTTGAATATCCGGAAAGAACATATAAAGCTAGACCACGATATACTGGTTTCTATAGTTCCATGCATCTATGAAAAACCAGTATAAGCTGAGCGGCGAATGTGCGAAAAGATCATACGAAACGATACCATGATACACTGCCATCAGGTGATCCGTCTGCTCGTTTACCCATAAATAAGACTTATTATTTCATAAACTTCCATTAATAAAACCGACATCAATCTCCTCTTTTTTAAGGTCAGTTAATTAATTTACTTTACCCTCTAAGTGTAATAAACACTTTTCGGAAACCCCATCAAAATTGGATAAGCTACTCGCGAGATATTCGCACACACACATACATGTGTACATACCAGTGAAACTGACAATCTTCTTTTTTAAAGTCGGTTTAAATGGCTAGTTTTAATACATAATAATGAGTTCCACTGACATGAGAAGTAGGCTCAGTAAGTATTTAAGTAAGCAATAATTGTGTTAGTGATAAAGGCTATTTTAGAAGTAAATAATGTGTATTACAATCCCTATTTTGTTATTTTCGAAAATTTTACGAAGTTTTCTGTTGATTTTTGGTGGTAGTGAACGTAAACTAATGTTGTTTAAGCTTGTGTTACAAAAAATATGTGAACAGAATTCTACCGTAAAGTATTATTTTTATAACTTTGCAACATTGCAACCGGTTTTTTTTTCTTCTTTGGCAACTGAGTCTCCAAAACGGTGTTGTCGACTATACTGCCAGTGTCGAGTGGTGACGGCAAAATTAATGAACCGTCGAACTTAACTTTGCGGTAGTTTTTAGTTGAATTTAGTTGAATTGCAATCGGTGAAAAGTATTTAATAATTATTTGACAGTTGACACTAATGAGAGCTCTAAATTTGTCATTCCCGCCAAAATTCAGTTTAGCTACGTTCATAACCACCAAAAATATTAAAATTTTGAAATTGAATCAAAATTTTAGTCCTGAAAATGTAATTTAGGTGCAATATTAATTTAGGTGTGAATTCAAAAGCAATACTTCGACACATCATTAGGTTTTCGTAAGTAATTAATATTATTAATTAAATTTTATGTGTTTTATATATTTGTGTTGATGTATGGGGTAATATTAAGAGATGTTTTTAACTTACCAGATCGGATAAACGTTTTTTTAACAATCTCTACAACTATACGTTGACATGTGACTCTAGCTAATTGGGTACTTTTTTTTAAGGTGGTAAAATCATCGAATGACTGCTCCCGCCTGGGTGAGGCGGAAAGGAGTGTCAGACTCTTACTGACTAAAAACCACCCCGTTCCTTCTCCTGCACGTCAAGCCGGAGCCCCGGTTACCCGTTAGGTTCTCCGCGACTCCGAATCGAGCTAATTGGGTACTTGCTAACTAAAAAAACGACAGTTTTCTAAGTATTTTGTACGAGATTGTGGATTGTGACGTCACTTTTTTTAGCGCCAAACAGCATACTTATTTCTTAAAAAATTGCTGGAACAATACTAAAATGAAGTTGGTCATAAAATCAATTAACACGTTAAACGCCATGGGGGTCACCGGTGACCGGCGGAGGATTTGCCTTCAACAGTTTTTTATTAGCAGTCAAAGTCTTAATGAAATTGTGATTATTTTTTATATTTCATTGTATTGAACAGTTGAAATTATTTAATTTTAATTCAGGAAAGTACCTACTCAATTCCTTTAGACGAAGAACAAAAACATCAAATTAGCGCCATCTAGTGAGGAAAAATACAGTTTCCTCCAATGAGTGGGTTATTACGATTTACGACTGATATCAATTATCAAGTTGAATTTGCTTGGCTCTCATTGATCGTATCGTGGCGTTTTACTTATAGCCTTTCTCAATAAATGGACTATTTAACACAAAAATAATCCCTTACAAAAAACAATGACTAACATTACCCCAAAATATAATTTTATTATTTTACAAATTAGCTCGAAGAGTCCAAAAGAATATATTATAATAATACCTATATAATAACTTTCAATATTTATTTGAAATTATAAACAAAGTTATATTAATTTTTTTATAAATATATATATGTCGCGATATTTTGGACCTACGTATTTTCTTTCTTTTGAATTCTTTGTAGCTATAAAAGGCGTGTATATTTTTATTCTTAGATCAATACATATATATAATGTACAGAGCAATAGGGTAGATGCCTAATTTTTATTTCAATGTCCGTCTGGTAGATTATTTTAAATCATTAGACACGATTTTTTTATTTTCTTACAGAAACGAATACTTTCTACGATATATTGATTTGATATGTCGCGTGACGTCACTTCTATGTACATTTTATACGTAGTAATGACGTTTTAGCCCCCACTCCTAAACTTTATATGAATGACAAATATGGTTTATCTGTCTCTGTACTATATAATATGTATAATCTAAGTTTAAAATATACATGTAGACATTCACTGCCTCTTTTTAATTGATAATTATGTTAAAAAAATGTTTTATAATGATTATTACCTAAAAAAATCAAGTAATCGGCCATAATATTGAAAGAATTAGATAATTAATTAATAATATGTATGTACCTAATTATATCTTTTTTTAGAAAAATTATAAAACTTGGTACTTATATAAATATATATTTGAAAATATTATATGTATAATTAATATAGATCGTATGGAAAATTGTAAATTTGATGGGATGTAGGAATTTGCCTTTTTATTTGATATA